GAAAGACAGTAATAAAAAGAGACATACGTCAATCACGCAAAAAAGAACTTGGTCGATATCTGAGTAACTTTGACTGGCAACTTATCGATTCCTCCAAACCGTGCGATAAGAATTGTGATATCTTATGCTCCGCAATAAAGACGGGTTATGACATCCTTATGCCTGAGAAACACGTTAAATTCCATCGCAACGACAACCCATGGATAACCGAAAAATTGAAACAGCTGATCAAGTTTCGATAACGTGCGTTTTCATCTAATAACACTACTCTTTTCAAATTCTACCGAAATAAAGTGAATAGAATGAGAAAATCTTGCCGGGCAGACTATTTTGCTTCAAAAGTTGCTAATCTGAAAAAGTCTAACCCCAAATCTTGGTGGACAGAGGTTAAACGTATCTCCGGTATGAGACCTGTATCTGGCAGTTTGCTTAACCAACTTCATGTCGAAGATACAGAACATTTAACACACAAAGGTTTTGCAGATTTAATTAACAAAAGCCTAATAGAACCAATGAATACTTATGATCCCTTAAATGTCACAGATTTGAACACCTTGTTTGAGGAGATTCCTGATTATCCGTTAGATGTAAACATGAATTTGACAAATACTGCATCGGTCTTGAAAAAACTGAAAAGCTTGAACCCGCATAAAGCTCCGGGCCCTGATGATATCCCCAATTGGATTCTTCGTGATTATGCCGAAATCCTTGCTCCCTCTGTATCGGACTTATTGAATTCGTCCTACAAGCAAAAAAGACTGCCCTCATGCTGGAAACAAGCTAACATTACACCTATTCCGAAAGAGAAACCTGTTAAAGACATAAGCAAACAGCTCCGACCTATTTCGTTAACTCCGGTTCTGTCTAAACTTGCAGAAGAGTTTGTTGTTGAAAAATATATCGCTCCAGCAGTGTTGTCGTCAATTGATCCTTTTCAATTTGGTGGCATCCCTCGATCATCTGCTACAAAAGCCTTAATTTCTATGGTTCATGCGTGGACTCAAGCCACAGATGGAACTGGAAACGCTGTAAGAGTGGTTCTTTTTGACTATAAGAAGGCCTTCAACTTGATTGATCATAAGATCTTAGCCACGAAAATCATCCAATTGCCAATGCCAAATTTCATTAAGCGGTGGGTAATTGACTTTCTGATGAACAGGCAACAACGGGTGAAACTTGCAAGAGACTGTATGTCTGAATGGATTGACATTCCTTCCGGTGTCCCTCAAGGAACCAAATTGGGACCTTGGTTATTCATCCTAATAATAAATGACCTACGCCCCCCACATCATGAGCGATGGAAATACATCGATGATGCTACGGTATCTGAAATCATTTACATCAACACACCCAGTAAAATTCAAGATACAGTCGATTGTGTTCAAAATTGGTCTGTAGAAAACAAGATGCAATTAAATGCCTCCAAGTGCAAGGAACTTGTTATCAGTTTTACAAAACCTGAGAAAGAATTTCCGCGCCTTAAGATCATCTCAGGCCAAATCGAGACAGTGAACCACGCAAGAATCCTAGGTTTGACAATTTCTAAAGATCTAAAATGGAACCAACACATAACTAACGTAGTTAAGAAGGCGAACAAACGGATTTATTTTATTATTCAGTTGAAACGTGCTCATGTACCTGAAGCTGACATAATAAATTTTTACACTACCTGCGTCAGACCAGTCATGGAATTCAGCTGTCAAGTTTTCCACTTCGCCCTTCCTTCCTACTTATCTAATGCCCTGGAACGGGTTCAAAAGCGTGTTTTATCAATCATCTATCCACTGACAGGTTATGCGGATTGTTTACAAAAATCGGGCATCAAACCATTAAGTGACAGGCGTGTGGATGCATGCGAGAAACTGTTTAATGAAATCACCACAACACCAGTAGCTAATATGCATAATCATGTACCATCTAGATACTTTCCAAATTACGACCTTAGACACTCAAGGTCTTTTGTTGTTCCTCAGACCAAAACGAACAGATTTAGAAACAGTTTTTTCCCTTCATCTGCAAGGCATATCAATAATATTAACTGACAATCGATTCTGATATTCAGTTTTAGACTGGCTAACATTTTTTTAGAAATTTACTAGTTTCATAGCTAATTTGTAATGTAACTTTAAACTTCTGTAATATAGAATTATAAATTGTAATGTAATTTTAAACTTCTGTAAATATAGAATAACTAATTTAATCATTTCTCTTGTAAAATTTAGCACGCAATTCAGCCTCTTGGCTGCTATGTGTTAATCTTATTAAACAAACAATCTATCATCTATCTATCTATATATATTATAAAGGATACGATCTGTGCCTGGAAATAGTGTCTTGGATGTAAGTAATTCAGCCATTATGCATCCAACGGACCAAATGTCAACTGAAAATTAAGAATAAATTATGAGCTCGAATTTTGGTTTTGAATAGAAACTCGACTGAAATACAATAAAATCAACCATGAGAAACATGGGCAATCACAGAGTGACATATATATTGTTACCCGTTTGATTGTAATGCATCCAATTCAACATGATTTCAGGCGCCCTGTACCACCTTGTCGCAACATAGCCGGTCATTTCATTGTCTGCCATCCGGGCAAGACCAAAATCCAATATCTAAAAGCATAAATATAGCACGTTCCTTGGTCGGCCATTTTAAAATCCACTCATTAATTTCAACATAAAATTGTGTCACTGAGTTCATATACACGATGAAGTACAGTAGTTCAATTACAACCCATATTCCCAACTTATTTCGCATGTTTGCAGGCTAAACGCTTGACAATTTTGCATACGAAAGAGAAACTCTTGAATGTACTTCTCTGTGATACAACTGTATACTTACCCTCAATTCACAGTCCTCATTGACTGCTATATTACTTGGTTTCAAATCCTAAAATTAAGGAGACGAGAGAGTCGTTCAATTATTGTGTCCCCCAAAAAGAAACACCCCCGGCCCCACCCAAAAAAAGCTTCACAAACTCGTTCCAGGCTTTTTTCATGCGGTTGGTAAGTATTTTTTTGAAATTGTGAAAAACTATTGGTGAAAATATAAATTAAAGAATCTGTCAAATTATGAAAAGCAGTGCATCGTTGAACGTTCTTAATATATCTATTAGGTGTTTTGTGTTATGATGTGTTCCTTGGAAATATGGGCTTTTGGTCAAATTTAAGGTTTTGTACTTACCCTGTGTATGACACCAGCTGAGTGAATATACTACAAATAAATTAGAGGAATGATGTCAAAATTTAAACAGCAAAAAAATTTAAACAGCATAATTTTTTTTAAATATACGTGCTACAGCAAAAAGGTTTATCATACTATAGATAAAGAGAACTTTAATCCTTACGCACCTTCAAACCACGTAAAATTTGGTAAATCAAGAACTTAACATGATCGTCTGATAACTGTTGACATTTTAAAATGCTGTTCAGATCTGCACCCATTAACTGTGTTACCATGTATCTAAACCGAGGTAATAGCAACATAAATTAGGATTTATCACAGCCACAGGTACAGTGGCATAACCGGGGGATGTTTGGGTGCTCAGTGGCGGAGGGCCACCAAGCCTGGGGCCCCCCCCCGGACAAAAATGACCATAAAATGTTTGCTCGTACTGTACATTGGGCAAATTGGTCCGAGCCTCGGTTATAGAGGGCCAGAAAATTTGCAATGGGCCACCCCTAAAAGCGGGAATTGTTGAAATTGTGAAATTTGGATCCCTTTTTTTTAGTATAGACATGATGCGAAAATGTTTTGTGAATAACCTTTTTTCCGGGAAAAAATAGGGCCCCACTTAAAAATTTTACGGGGGGCCTAGGGAGGTACCGTTATGCCACTGCAAAGGTAAATGATTTTAATATTCTGCCATGGACCATTAGCAGAATTACTCAGGAGCATAGCATTCATATCGGTACGGACAGGAACTTCAAACATGTAAATTAAACTGAATAGAATTCCAGTTTTGAAACCCTGGCTGACAGCCTGATTCATGCATTGGGAAATGATGTGGGGTACAGTAGCACCTTAATATGAAACTAACAAAGCTTATCTGGAATGTGAGGTGCAGAATGCAGTGTTTTTGCTTCACTGGCACAGCTGTCTTAAAAACCTCAAAAAAAACCCTGAAATGTTTGTAACCACACTACATGTAAGTGGTGGTTGGTCTGGAGAGTGTGTTAGAGAGGGGAGGGGTGTGCCCCCATATATCAAATATGGAATAGAGCATTTCTTACACATCTTGGAAATCTTCCATAGATGATTGTGGTGTAAATATATTCAATATGCCAATAATCTATATAAAAAATTAAAGATAAGTAAGATGTTATACAGCATTCATGCAAGTGTAAAGCATCAGAGTTCAATTTCTATAATAGCAATCATCTGATAATTTGATTAATTTCCCCTATTTGTTTCTGGTTGGATTCTACTATAGAACACAAGTTTTCTCCAGCTCTTCCAGATTTCACTTGAAGAGTAGTAGCCCTTGTGTTGAAACATTAAGAGATGGCTCCTGCTGAGAAAACAGTTTCGAACTGGTGAAGGTGAAGATTCTGATTTCTGATAGCCAAATGCCATTGGCCTTCTATGCACATAAACTTGTCACGCCTGTCAACAAGATGTGTTCGCACTGCTTGTTACCAGTGTTTACATGTATGGAACAAATTGTTATCATCTTGTAATAAGGTTGATGAAGGCTAATAGTCTCACAACAAGTTGTTCCAACAAGTACATTGATAACAAGTTGATGATGACAAGCTTGTAGCAACTTGTTACAAACAGCTTGTATTGGTCTTATTCGAACAACTTGCATTAAGTCTGTTACCAGATCTTGGATCTTGTAACAAGGTGATAACAATTTGTTCCAGACTTGTCACAACAACTTAAAACAAGCAGTTATACAAGCACATCCTGATATTGGCTTGGCAACTTTGTTACAACTTGTTTGCACATCTGTGACAACTTCTGCATTTTTCAGATTTTTACATGTGTTAACAGAGGTAAACTTTCTAAATTAACATGGTCAGACAGGTCAAATAGATTATTAAATTGTTAAAATTGGACCACAAACATTTCAGCTTCTGACCAGTTCTGGCTAGTCAGTTTTGACCAGATCTAGTCCACCCAGAAACAACATTGGGCTACTGTATAAGGTCATAATTACATTTTCGTGATCCATATGTCTCAACAACTTGAGTTCTCTGTATGTTCTTTTGGCATGAATTAATGATTGAAATGGTCTGGAGAACTTCTTTATTGCCACCTTTTCTCCGAGCATTTTATCATCAGATGAACTACAATTGAAGTAATTAAAACCTAGAACATTGCCCTTGATGACCAATGTGAGGTGCAAGGAGGTTTTTGACTTTTTGTTAGGGCTGCTCCTGATTAATTATTTTTGTGTGTTTTGGCAATGGATTGTTCTAAACAATAATTTCAAAGCAACAAAACAGCCAGGCATGGCATGATACTTGGGTAACTTTCTTTCCTGATTGAACAAATTACAAGGAGTTATCGATATTATCAACTGACAAACGCAACTTTGTTTCACTACTACCATCAGCATTCTGTTTGCCCTTCAAATCAAAACATTAACACATGCCCCCTTTCTTGGAAGCAACACTAGGGAGTTTACACATGTGAGATGGTGATGTCAGGTACTATAGCTATCAATACAATGACATTACAATAATTCTATAGTCCTATAGTGCAAAAGAAATGAGTAATTGAAAGTCTAGCAGGGGTTTTAGACAAAGCCCAAGCTCTGTCGATAACAGCAAAATGCATATTTTCACGTCTCGTATAGTATGTTCAAGCCGTGACAGGTACTTTTTCTAGCAGAGTTGATCAAAATTGCTATGAAGGTTAAAAGTTCTGTTTTACTTGTTTGAAACTTATACGAAAGTTAATACAAAACAAGATTTCCATACATTTGTTTATACAACTGTTTTTACAGTTTTTTAGCCTCCGTCCTGATGTTGCTGTCATATAGTACATGCGTAATTAATCACTGTGGACATGTCTAGATTTATTCAATGTAATTAATCGATTGTTGATGACGATTACTCGATTATGATATGATCGATGGTTTTTGTCCTTGACTTCTGATCACAGGTAATTGATTTTAATATTCTGCCATGGACCATTAGCAGAATTACTCAGGAGCAATAGCATTCATATCAATACAGATAGGAACTTCAAACATTATGTAAGACTGAAAAGAATTCTGAATCAAAGAATGAAGTTAAGACTGTGTGTGCATAATATGGTATGCTCAACCAGTAATTATGCAAATGGTCAATAAAGGATGTGTGACAAACAGATTCTGAGCTACGAGACATTGACAATGAGATACCGAAATATGAACCTTAATGGGTGCAGTTCTATCATTTCCTGAGGATATTTAGAATCAGGGCTCTAGGCCAAAAAAGTTTTTGTGACCAATTAATAAAAGGAATGCTCATAAAGTGGCAGAATTAATTTTCCAGTAGAAGCCCAAATAGTTGCGTCACTACCAACGAAAAGCTTGTTATATTATTAGCACTGCGGCACTGCCAGTTCAATAATTATTTTCTCTGATATAACTGGCATGTGATATATTAAGCCAATTCTAAAGCATGGACTCCACTTCACAGTATTATAAATCTCCAATAGACACAGCCAGTTATCATTTATAAGCGTGGTTTAATACACTATCAAAGTTTCTGTGATCACAGTAGGAATTTTGCATCAGTAAATTCTAAGTTTTGAAGGATTCGTAAGAAATTGTTGTCTGAGCATATACTGACTTGATGTTAAACACTGAGTCATTTCCTTAAACAGTTCTTACAATATTTATGAACCAAAATTCGAACACAGATAATTGTAACATTTAATAGAAAGTATAAAATGTTTGAAAATACAAACAGGACATTGTAAGAATTCCTTTCAAGTCATCAATATTTACCCGTGTACCACGCAAATATAACCCAAATACGAGATATGTTAATTGTTAAAACTGTGAGCCAATTTGAGAATTTAAGTATAAATATACTTGTAGCAATTATATCTAAAGTCAAATTTTATCCTAAATATTATTAAGGTTGATACATACAATGTTTATACACGAACTACGGTAATTAGAAATTTCAGATTTCATACCAAACTAAACCATACGCTCCAGATCCAATGGACTGCAAATCCTGATAGCGCTCAGGCACTTCCCACGTTGCCTTGTTCGTCTCTGTACGATAAAAGCCATTTCCCATGGGCTCGATCATCTTGTAAATGAATAGACTGGGCGTTTTTGTATAAATTCTTGCAGTGAAAAATATATAAACTTCGCTTTCGAATCGACGAAACTGCAATTACTTACAGGAGGGGAAAACCCAGCTATTTTTTAATATCGCGACATTTATAACTGGAATTTTTTGGGAAACATTCCACTCCGTGCTTCCACTTGCAAAGATTTTAACTGCAAACTTCTACTTCTTGATAGCCTGTGTACAGCCCAGTGAGCCGACTCACAGCTAACCTGAGTATCAGGCCCTTATGTTTTCATTCGCCAGAATTGGAGGCGGCGAATGAAGGAGGGCCTGATACAATTCTTTACCGCGGCGCATGTAAAAAGCCAGTGAAGACAGATTAGAGATTTATGTCTAGCTGTTTATGAATGCTGACCCAAATCCTTACCCTGATCAGGACAAAACAGCGAGACATGAATCCATATCTCGTCTTCGTTCTTCTGCCTTCGTTCACAACGAAAACTTCGCAAATATTTTGGCAAAATTCGTTGTGAACTTCGTTCCGAACGAAGGCAGAAGGACAAAGACGGGATATAGTTTCATGTCTCGCTATTTTTTTCTGGGTCAGGGCAAGAATTATGGTCAGTATGCATAAACAGCGACACATGGGAAGACACGTTGAGCAACCACCAGTGACGTCCAACTCAGTATGCGCAAGATAATGTGCAGATGGCAAAAATTGGCAAGTACGCCTTCGTCTTCGTTGTCTTGCTCAAACTCTCTATTGACAATTTTCTGACGGGTCTCAATTTTCCGACCGGTCTCCCCCTCCGGCCACGGCGCCACTGCCGAGCCCACATTAAAAATTCACTTGCAAAAAACAGATTGTTTAACTTCATCTAACCCTCATTTAATACATATTGAAATAATTAGGGTTAGAAAAGGTATGTGTTTCAAGCTGTGTGCCACAAATAAGCGAACAAGATTTTAGAACACCGATGCCCAGCAAAGCATATATTCTACAGAATTTTTGCATTATTGGCAGCATGAAGCTATATAATCAAGGATTCCCTTTTTTATACAATATATTTTTTCAGGGGGGTCCCCAAAATTTTGCCAGGGCGCCCCAAAATTTTGCCAGTGGTGGCCGGGCCCTCCGGCCCCAGCCTTGGCTACGCCTCTGAATGGGAACTGGGATTTGCTTATTTTTTTGGGTGGGAAAATGGGATTTCATGCACTGGGACTGGGATTCATCAGCAAAAAAAAACAATAGAAAATGGGAATGGGATTATGATTTGAGCAGGACAGCCACTGAGATGATGGGATTTGTGCTCTGGGACAATGGGATTTAGTCAAAATTTGGGCTGGGAAATGGGAATACGACCCCCTCCCCCCCCCCCTTCAGGACCCTCTCACAAGGATCATGTTTTCTGAAAAAGAGGCAAAAAAACAGCCAAAAAGTAAGGCTATTATAGCCTTTACTTTTCGTCCATTTTAAGCCGATTTTTTCAATTTTTGAAAGAGGCAAAAAACAGCCATTGTCCTGACATTGAAGACAAGGTTCCTGACATTGAGGACCAGGTTTCTGACATTGAGGACCAGGTTTCTGATGCTGAGAACAAGGTTCCTGACATTGAAGACAAGGTGCCTGACGCTGAGGGCAAGGTGCCTGACGCTGATGACAAGGTTGTCTAAAATTTGGTAATGAGTGATTATGTAGAAATTATTATCGTTACCACCACTGAGTAAATCTAGTAGTGGAGTGGTAAACTCCTGGTGTTGCATGAGGTAGAACTATGGATCAATCCCGGGTGTGGGCAAAAACCATTTTAATGTCAGGCGTCTTTGTTAATTATTCCACCCGAGACGAGAAAGTGTCAAGTAGAATAAAAAAGGTGTTAAAGCAAGTGTAGGCGAGATGGTCTAGTCGTAAGGACAAAGTGTTGCAAGTGTGTGAAGCCAGGTTCGATTCCTGGTTGTGTCAAGATCATTTTAATCTCAGGCATCGTTGTTAATTAATTCCACCCGAGACGAGAATGAGTTAAGTAGAATAAAAAGGAGTTAAAGCAAGCGTAGGCGAGATAGTCTAGTGGTAAGGACTAAGTGTTGCAAGTGTGTGAAGCCAGGTTCGATTCCTGGTTGTATCCAAGTCATTTTGGGCCTCAACAAGTGTGTTAATTAATTATAGAGTCGAAGGGAAAAGGATTAAATAGAATAAAAAACCTAACCATTTCACCAAGAGTCCTGGTGGTCTAGTGGTACCTTCATCGCGTGAAATATCGTGTGGGGGGAGAATAGTAGACGCCGTTTGCGGCGCCGAATTTCCAGAGCTTAACACGCAGGAAGTGCTAACAAGAGCATAAAAAACCAACCCTTCTTTAAGGAAATTTAGTAATAAAAAGTAAATTTTTACTAATAAAAAGTGAAGTAAGACAAGTTAGTTACCAAGTTTACTTACTTTAGTTAGTAAATAAAAGTTGACTTACTAACTTTACTTACTGATTTGACTTGATTGACTTACTGACTAAATTTTACTGACTGGACTTTACTTATCTAAAAAAAAGATGGATCCGATGGACAAGTATTTACTTAACTAAAAAAAAAGTTGGATCCGATGGTTTACTTATCTAAAAAAAAGATGGATCCAATGGATAAGTGTTTAGCTATAACTAAATACTTATCCATCGGATCCATCGCATCCATCTTTTTTTTAACACTTATAAAAAAAAAGATGGATCCGATGGATCCAATGGATAAGTGTTTAGCTATAACTAAATACTTATCCATCGCATCCATCTTTTTTTTAATACTTATAAAAAAAAAAGATGGATCCAATGGATAAGTGTTTAGCTATAACTAAATACTTATCCATCGCATCCATCTTTTTTTTAATACTTATAAAAAAAAAGATGGATCCGATGGATCCAATGGATAAGTGTTTAGCTATAACTAAATACTTATCCATCGCATCCATCTTTTTTTTAATACTTATAAAAAAAAAGATGGATCCGATGGATCCAATGGATAAGTGTTTAGCTACAACTAAATACTTATCCATCGCATCCATCTTTTTTTTAATACTTATAAAAAAAAAGATGGATCCGATGGATCCAATGGATAAGTGTTTAGCTATAACTAAATACTTATCCATCGCATCCATCTTTTTTTTAATACTTATAAAAAAAAAGATGGATCCGATGGATCCAATGGATAAGTGTTTAGCTACAACTAAATACTTATCCATCGCATCCATCTTTTTTTTAATACTTATAAAAAAAAAGATGGATCCGATGGATCCAATGGATAAGTGTTTAGCTATAACTAAATACTTATCCATCGCATCCATCTTTTTTTTAATACTTATAAAAAAAAAAAGATGGATCCGATGGATCCAATGGATAAGTGTTTAGCTATAACTAAATACTTATCCATCGGATCCACCGCATCCATCTTTTTTTTTTAATACTTATAAAAAAAAAGATGCCTTAACTCATCTTTATTCTACTTCACTTAATAGTCAGTAGGGTCAATCAAGTTTAGATAAGTAAAGTCCA